CCCCAAAACCCCAAAACCCCAAAACCCCTAGTAAATAACTCAGCATAGAAATATTAAATTGACACGTGCTAAATATGAAGCAGGAATAGAATTTTGGTCAATAAGAATAAAACGAATCATTTGACACCAATTTATTTCCCACCAATTACTTTAACTTTTCTAAACTTGTGTTCTACAAAAATCTTCTCAATTTTGTCCTTTTCCATTACGCAACCCTTAATGTGTACTTTTCTTAGGCTCAATCTTAAATCCGGGGAACTTACTAGCCCTTGGATTAAGTTCTTGAACTGATTGATGTTGCTCATATAATCACTTGAATAAGAACCTCCTGTAAATAGTAACCACAGCGATTGGATTCTACATCTCGTAAGAGTCTTTGAAAAATCAGGAACATTTGGAACTCCCAGTTTGCAAGTTGATAATTTCAGGACTCTTACATGTCTGTAAGCTGCTATCAACCTCTTTAATTGTCTAAGGTGAAGATCTAAACTTTCGAATTCTACTGTGTGAAAAACTCTGGAGCTGAGGCTGATCAGCAAGTTGAAGTAATTAGACCTATCCAGACACATTCCACTGTAGGCCCAAACGCTGAGATAATTAGTTCTATTTGGGAATGAGGACCTTAAGAAATCCACAAAATCCTTGTTTTTACTCTTGCTCATCTTTAAAATGAACTGGTCTATGTCACAACACTTTTGAGACTTGAAATTTCGTGCAAGGTTTTCATATTTAGCGTCCTTAAAATTCAAATAGAATTGTCCCTTCAGCAAATCTTTTTCAGAGTTTGAATTTGAGAAATCAACGAGTATTTGAATCAAAGAAAGCTTTCTGAGAATGTTTTCACATATCGCATTATCTTGGCTTTTAGTCTCCTCCTGTAGAGACTTCTCTTGGCTAAAATTGGAGGTTAGTAAGGGCTTCATTCCCTTTGAGGATTCGTCAGGAAAATAGGAACTAAGCTGATGGAGGTAGGATTAGTGTAATTATTGACAAGTCTGAGCTCTTTGGGAAGAATTAGTCTTTACAGATAGCTATCAGGTTATTGGGGTATAAGGCAGGAAAACTCTCTTGGTTATATCAACAATCTCCCAGTCAAGATATTTGCAATGAAATTATTTTAGGAGCTGATAAATTTCTTTTGTATATTTAAAATCTCTGAAAACTAATTCATATTATTAAGAATGAAAAATCATTAGAAGTAAATAAAAAAATAGGAAGGTTCAAATAAGAAAGCTCTTGAGTGAGATCCAGAGCTGCTCTAATGAAGCAAGAAGATTCTTTTGATTTGGGTTATGGGATAATAGCCTTTCATACTATGCACACATTTGTTAGGAGCCCTTAACACAAAGTAGAAACTATGTTCATTGAATCTACAGGTATTAATACCATCATCACCTTATGCAAATACAAGAGTACAATGAGACAGGAGGCATCTGCTGAGAAGTAGTGTATGTTCTAAAGTACCGAATCTAAGTGCGATAGCTCGAGTCATGAGGGATGCTCTCAAACTCTCTTCCAGAAGAATGTCATGGCTACCACTCAAGAATTTTGATAAATTATTAATATGCTAAAGGCTCGATTCTGTGGAGTTTGTCTCCAAGGCTAATGTACAAAGATTGGAGATTCTTCAGATAGGCGAATTTATCATCAATAGAAGCACGAAATCTACTATGCCATGAATCCAGAGATCTTAGTCTTTGTTTGCCCTATAGAGTGACGAGAGCAACAGCTTTTCCTGAATTAAGAGATGCTACAGAGGAGACAGAAGATGGAGAAAAGATGGTGGTAGAGTAAGACCTCCTCTAAAATATCCATGCTATTAGGTTCAATCCAAGTAAGTTCTTCAGCAAAATCCCTCCTAGAAGCCAAGAGTAGAGCCATCAATCTGTTGAAAAGTCAGTCGATCTTGATTACTTTCGATAGAGAAGATAAAGAGACGAACTACTGGAGAGCAGAGAAGAAGCGAAAGATAGTAACAAGTGAAGCAGCTTAAGATTAGGGAAAAGAAAGCCTCCCAGCAACTAGGCCATCTTTGAGAAGTTGTTATCTAAACTATTGCTTGATGGTTGAAAATGGCTTATCTTCTATCTACTGTTCTCAGGGTTTGATGTAGCTTCATTTAGCATTTGTTCTGTTAACACAAAAAACCATAACTTCCTAACTAAAAATTTATATTACGATGATGAATATATCAAAATCTTTTCACTTTGAGGTATTGTTTTCAAGTCAATTACACTTAATTTAGACATTTTCAGCCGAGCTGATTTCCTCTGGCCTACCTTCCCTACTTTTGTAGTAGAGCATAGCCTGAGCCTAGAACTTGGGCTTCACTCTGCTTTTGTCGAAAGAAACGAAGAACTAGATCACAAAAGCGTTTGTCATATACCAGGGAGAGTGCTTGGAGTGCTAAAGATCATTTCGCCACCCAATTCTAGTTTCCAAGACTTTCACTATAGTACATAAAAATTCCTACCCGGCATTTCAAAGGATGCTATCATACTTTTGGATTCTCAATATTTTCATTTTAACATTAAGAATCTATGATCTATCACAAAAATGGAGATGAAAATGTAGAGCTCACAAGAGCTAAACTCTTGATTACCTGATAACCTGGGCCTTATTTCCCTCGGCTGCTGTATCCATACTTTCCATTTTATTATTATCTAAAATTATTTTTTCAACCTTATATCAGAGGGATGGGGTTTTGGGGTTTTGGGGTTTTGGGG